ATTCCGTTGGGGCCCGAAACCAAGAACAACTGTGCTGGCGAGAACCAGCAGCTCTGCTCTTAATTTTCAAAAGGTTAGTTAGGTGTAGGTCCCTGTTAACTGCAGAACACGAACACGGAGTGCGCCGTGACGCAGTTGAGTTACCGCTTTGTTTACTTTCCGTTGCTCAAGAAACAGGTGTAGGATTCTGACATCATGTTACCGTGTTTGTGGTCTCCCTTGACCTCTGGAAGCAGTGGACCGATTTTAACTAAATTTACTCGTAGTATGAACGTTACCAGATTGGAGGCTGCCTTAAACTCGTAACTGTTAACTTACTACAGCGGATGCACGAACTTGTGGCATCAAACCAACACTGCATGCCTCTGGTTGCAGAGGGAATAGGAGAGACGCTGTTGTTACTACTACTAGTACAAATACCGTCTTCATTTCTTTCTGTATGTGTATAACAACAGCAAGTCTATGCTCTGGGTTTCGAGTACAGTAAATCCTCGCTAAGTCGGATTAATTGAGAGGAGGATCAGGATTAGTGAAGCTAAAGGTACTCCTAAAGGCAAAATAACTTAGAACACAAATAAATACAAAAATTAATGATACGAGGAGCGCCGATGAAGATAAATAACAAAATATCACTGTAGAGCCTTTATTCAAAAACTTTAAAAAGACAATAAATTCATTCATCGCTAGAAAACTCAGGAACTTGGGCATGCTTTTGGAAGTGATAATGCAGGGTGCTGAGAATATTTGGACCGAAGAGAGATGAAGTGACAGGAGGTTGGAGAAAACTGCATAATGGGGAGCTTCATAACTTGTGCTCTTCTCCAAGTATAATTAGAATGATCAAGTCAAGGAGGTGGCGGCCAGGGCATGTAGCACGAATGGGGGAGAAGGGGAATGCATATAGGATATTGGTGGGAAAGCCAGAAGGAAAGAGACCACTGGGAAGACCAATGCATAGGTGGGTGGAATATATTAAAATTGATCTTAGAGAGATAGAATGGGATGGTATGGATTGGATAATCTGGCTCAGGATGGGGACCAGTGGAGGGCTCTTGTGAACACGGTAATGAACCTTCAGGTTCCATAAAATGCTGGAAAATTCTTGAGTAGCTGCAGATTTGGCTTCTCCTCAAGAAGGGCTCAGCTCCATGAGTAACTAAGTAAGTAATACACGTTTGAAGAAACTGTCAAGTTTTGTCTGGACAGACAAGTGGCTTATCTGCCGTTCTAAATGCTGTCTGTTTTAAATTACGTACTCAACTGTGAACAGCATTTTCATATTTCGATCCGGATTAACTGTAACCAGATCAACCCAAGGCCGCGCCATAGCTCAAGCGGTTAGTCGCTGGCTTTCCACCGCGGCGGCCCGGGTTCCATCTCGGGGTCTGGTCAAGTGGGATTTGTGGTGGACAAAGTGGCGCTGGGGGTTTTCTCTGAGTACTTCGGTTTCCCCTGCCAATCTTCGTTCCACCAATTGCTCCACAATCACCCTCACCTATCATCTGGGGTTGGTAAAATAGGCCAGAATTGGCCGCAGTACAAGGGACTTAGTCCCACCCAGCTAGCATTAAAAAAAACTGTAACCGGATTAGTGAGGGTTTCGAGTACATAATTAAATTAGGACTTCGCCTTTGCTTATCTGTTTACAAGCGAATGTGACTGAACTGTTACCGAGTTACAGGAGACGTAACGTTCGTTGAATGAAAGTTCTGGTGGCGGGAGGCCGTACAGAACCTTCTCGTAATAAATTTGTTTTAGTCGCAGTGAATTTAGTACAATACGTCCAAAGTTTCTGAGCTATTGTTCCCTGTTGTTGGGATATGAAAGGGGGCCGCTAACACATTCAGCGCACCTTCTCCTGTCCCATACGTGCTGCATTGTTTCGGTTCGATTGCTTTAGACTGTGAATGCATTATCGCTTGTAATCGTCTGCCATGACTCGACGACTTTCATTTTCGGATCGTCCGCTTATGGCGCTGAAGGTGAGCACCCCGTGGCACTTCCCAACATATGCAACCTCCATTCACGTAGACAGACACATCTAAATAGTATTTCACAATTTCCTCCTGTGCAGGCCCGCCCGTGGGGTTCAGCGAAATTGATGGGGCCGTCTAGGGCCCACTGCTCTATAAAACGTACATCCGAAATCAAGCGCGTTTCAAACATTAAGTTGCAAATATGCCCCATTGGGTTCCATCTCAGGTTTCTATGGCGATGTATGTCTTCTGGTATATCTCTCTCTCTTCTACCCTGAATATGGAGGCAGCAAATCCGTCCGAGATGCTGTATCATACTACACGGCGTCACATCCCACATGACAAGAATGTTGTAGCGCCTGTCTACAAATATGTAGACATTTACGGACCACAAAACGGATTCTCACAAAATTTGGCATTGGATTTGTCTATATATTCGGATTGTGCTTAAACACGGGCAACACAGGACACTACTGAAGACAGCCATGTGTTTCTATGCACTCTCAAGCATAACTTGTTCACATATTTTTTTTTCCCCCTTGGCACTACAGCCCCAGTGGGCCTAGGCCTACCTCCATGAACTTCTCCGTTCACTTCGGTTTTTCTAGATCTTACATTTGGTAGGACTCCTTGGGCGGGTGATCAGCTCGTTGCAAGGCCTCTACCTGTGCACAAACACAGAAAAACGCACACACACAATGCTCACATTAGTTATATAAAAAAAATGTTCTAAGCAAGTGTTGGAGAGAAAAATGAAACAGGTATTTCATATGAAATAACATTACCTTCGGTTTTTGAGATAATTAAAAAGAGGAAGGAAACGACAGAATCATGTTATGCCATGTGCATATTTCCTAACTTGTTTGAACTAAGAAGTATGTTTCTAAAGTAAAAAGTTAAAGTTGCCTCCTTGCTTAATTAATTAGCACTAGGAAATGAAGATGTACGGGGGAGTGAAATTAGAGCTCCACTATTCTTGACCTTGGCACTAGATGGAGGTGAGTGGTCTCCTCCTTGCACCAGCTGCCCCCCCCCATCCTCTTGTGTACCCAATAGGTGGGAGTCTGGGTGGGCCGCAAGAGCCGGTCCCAACACTGTGGAGAAGAGAAAAATCTTGCCCCTGTCAGGACTCAAATCTCAGTTGTCCAGCCCATACCCCAACACTATATTGACTGAGCTATTCCGCCTCTTTTATGTATCATGTACCTCAGTTGATCTTAAGACCATCCACACATCATTTTATTCTGGAATGTCTGGAAAGTGCTTCCATGGTGATATCTACTGGCTGATAATACAGATTCCATAAAGAAAATCACACAAACTTTGACACAAGTAAGGAGGTTTGTCTAGAAGTAAACTAAGTATATCTTGCTGTCTTGTCACCAAACTGCAGGGCAAAATCATGACATAAAGATAGGAAACAGATGTTTTGAAAATGTGGCACAGTTCAGATATTCGGGAACAACAATAACAAATCAAAACCTGATTGAGGAGGAAATTAAGAGGAGACTGAACTTGGGTAATGCTTGCTACCATTCAGTCCAGAACCTTTTGTCTTCTCGTCTGCTGTCCAAAAACGTAAAAATTAGAATATACAAAACTATAATTATGCCTGTGGTTCTATATGGGTGTGAAACTTGGTCTCTGACATTAAGGGAGGAACATAGACTGAGGGTGTTTGAGAACGGGGTGTTGAGAATATTTCGACTGAAGAGAGATGAAGTGACAGGAGGTTGGAGAAAACTGCATAATGAGGAGCTTCATAACTTTTACTACGTGGTAGTCATTAATTTCGTGGACTGTGGTTTTATCGCCCCACATTACAAGGTATTCACATACACTTACACAGATTCACATCAGCCCTCAAAATAGTTGCCATTGGAGGCTATGCAAGTCTGCCGAAAACACTGCTGAAACACATTGGTAGGAAATTCCCGTACGGCGTCTCTTGTGGCACTGACGACCTCCTCGGACGACTGAAATCTATGACCACGTAGCTTTGCTTTCAAGCGGTGAAAGAGAAAGAAATCGCATGGTGCGAGATCAGGCGAGTACGGAGGGTGTGGCAAAGTGGTGACCTGTTGCCTTGCCAGTTCCTCTTGGACAAGAACAGATCGATGTGCAGGGGCACTGTCTGGTAGGAACAGCCAATTCTTCCCATGCCAAACATTTTGCTGGGGGATTTGCCTAGTTTTTGGCAGAACTTGATGTTTGCTTGTAGTTAAGACTGCCACATTTTCGATTTCCGCCACTTGCATTTACCTGCAGTTCACAATAGAGGCCGTAGTTCTGCTTACACAGCACTTTCTCTTGCTATGACGAGAGATGAACTGACAGGTCATCACACTGTGCCTCAACCTATCCGCTGTAGTGCACTGCAGTGAAGCTATGCGGCCAGTTCACGAACTTATCGACTATGGTGGTATTTGCCTAGTATACTTAGAATGATCAAATCAAGGAGGATGAGGTTTGCAGGGCATGTAGCATGAATGGGGGGTTAAAAGGAATGCATATAGGATATTGGTGGGACAGCCAGAAGAGACCACCAGGAAGACCAAGATGTATGTGGGTGGTCAATTTTAAAATGGATCTTTGATAGGATGGGGTTGGTATGGATTAGATTGATCTGAGTCAGGCTTGGGACCAGTGGAGGGCTTTTTTGAACAAGGGTTCCATAAAGTGCTGGGAAGTTCTTGAGTAGCTGCACAATTGGCGGCTTCTCAAGAAAGGCTCAGCTCCGTGAGTGATGATGATGTCTGAAAAGTGCTGAGGTCACAGTAATAGTCCCAGGAAGAATGGGTCCCTCTGCATCACCCTCAAGCCAACTCTAGCCATTCTGTTTACAGTAATGCCAGTAATAATCATGAGACAACCTTCGCTAGGAACAAGCTTTTTTGTTTTGTTGACATAGGCTGATGGGAAATGCAAGCGAAGGGAGTGGCAACCCTTAAGTGCCGTTGTCACCACCAACCACGGAGATTATTTCTGTAACCTCAGTGTAGTCGAGATAAATTATATGGCACCTTTAATTTCAATATTTTATATTCATTTTGATTACAATTCTTAAATTTTATCTTGTAATTATACCCATTAAATATTTTGTATTTGTTCTATTACCACAGTTGATATAACAGTAAGCCAACAGACAGTTACACTTATTTCCGTGCACAGGTAGGGATGGTCCCCTATGCCACAGTGTGAAGACAACATTTCTTCAAACCGCATCAGTACACTAATGTAACATAAAGCAGCATTTCCCAAATAGGGCAATCAAAGAATGAACACTTTTATCCATAGTACAGTGGTCTTTATTAACCCCTTCAATACACCTTTAACATACATCATAGTCTTGTAATGCTATCTGGATGTCCAAAGGGATAAAACTAACTAGGAAAATATTAGATTCATGAGGTAACGATTTGGCTTGTCACAATGCCACAAGTCAGGCTCGTTGCCGGACTTGTCACTTGAAAGGACTAGCAAACAGATCCACTGCAAAATGAGAGGTTCCAACTGAATTAAAGTTTTGTCACTCAGGACTCCATTTCATAAAGCCCATTGACAATCCCAATATGCCCTTAAGTAAGGTAGTGTGCTTGGTTCAAAGTGTGGGACTACTAGGCTGGTAATTTTACTAATGACACGCATAACAAATCACGGACAACTGCAGGGCAAAGCTCGCGTAGCATCCACCCCTTCATCTCATTTAATTTAGCCCAGAGCAATCCACTCTAATCCCACATACAACATGTTTATGATGATAGAAGTTTTGGTTGCATTTTCATTCTGGCCTGACAAATGTGAATAAACCAACTGAAAGCTGAACGAGATTTTAGCCATTCTCCGGCATGTCAGAACTCTGGGTAAAGTATGAACTGGAATATCAATTTGAATTTCAAGCTCCTGTATTTTATTTCAGTGTATCTATCAAATATACTTTACATAAAATTATAATTAATGATTAAAGATCAAAGTAACTTCTCACTGAGTACCCAGCCAAGCACAGGCTGAGATGAAGCTGCGCTGCCTGGTCAGGCCTATCGCGCGCCTCACGGGATGCAGCAATGGCAGACAAACACCATACAAATATGGAGTGAAACAAGCTCCAGTGCCACTCTGTTCACCATGATCTCACATGATGACACCGCCCAGCACTGGACTGAACCAGGGACTTCATGAAGAGAAGTCAGGGTCTAACTGCCTCAGTTATGGCACAAAATGCATATGACTGTGTCATTAATAAACACTGCTCAGTAAAATTTGGATAGAAGTGACTAACACAAGTAAAGCATGTCAGAATCTTTTCAGTGAGAACCACACAAACTCTGCATAAAGTGCCTATCTCAATTACTGAAACAGAAAGAAAAAGTCCCTTTGCTTAAATAAGCACCATGCCATGCATACATGTGAGGGAATGGAGGTATGGCTCCATGAATTAACTTCAGGACTAAATTGAGGTGTGGTCAGCTTCACCCCCCTCCAGTTTATTCCACAACAGTCCCTGGGACCCAATGGATAGAAAGCTGCATAGGCCCCAAAGCTGGTCTGCATGCCCCTGCCCAAAACTGAACTCCATTTCCTCTACTTTCCAGCCTGCAGCCTCGTAGTCACTGTACTGAGCTACAGAAGTGACTTTTAACCCACTTATAGGACATCATAAGAATGTGCGACAGTAGTGTCACTTGGAATCCAAGGGGGAAATGAGAAAAGCGGTATAAAAGAAAATGTCAGAATCCTCGACTAAGTGACAAGTCAGTCACGACTCACAAAATAACGCCCATGTAGGGACTTTTATGTGCACACTGTATTATGAAGCTACATGTTTCTTAGCCTGCCTCGTTTGGGAAATGCAGATATAAGGTAAAACAAATAGTTATTTATTTAAAATGTTACAATGATAGAGATATCACTCATTTTGCATATGTAATGCATAGTATCAAAGGTGTGAGAGTCACTGCATCCTCTTCAGAGTGACAAGGAAACTATATCACAATTATTTCTTCGTAGTACTACATCTGATATGACTTTATACTTTACTGGACAATATAATGTCCCCAAATACTTGTGTTCCAAGGCAACACAAGCTTTAACAATACTGAAATATTTTCACAGCCTTGCACAAAAGACAGCTGCTAATAAGGTGCTGAACTGTCAGTGATCATTTTCTTGCAGCTACAAAAAGCTGTGAATGCTTAAAACAAAGAAGATATAGTGAGTTTATTCCTACAGCAGCAAAGTTATAGACAATATACAAATTAACTCATGTTGCCGTGAATTAAAAAAAAAGTCTTTGTTTGCTTTAAACCACTGCAGATATGTGGACTGCTATCTCTAGTGAGCCATAAAAGGAATAAAATAATAAAGCATCGTCAAAACAAGACATGCTGCCCATATACATTGAAATTAATGAATCTGGTATCATACAAGTGTAACAGCTGGCAGTTTATCATTGGTTGGTGATACACCCTGGCAGGGAGAAACAAAGGCTGAAATTGCAGCTGTTGTAGAATGTACAGAAACGGAACACTGCATATACAAGGACTGCACACTGAATTTGCTTTTATGTGAAGAACAACTTTCTTACTTCATTAGTGCTGCAAGTGCAGTTATAGCAATACATATAGTCATTTGAAAGTACAGCTTCTTTTGGATGGTCCTGTATATATAAGTAGCTTTAATAATGAAGAGCTTCCAAGTTTTGCCTGAAACTATCAGTGTGTGCACTTCAAAATATAAACGTCCATATTTCTTCCCCACCAAGAAACTGATCAGCATAGAAAATAGAAATGTTACAAATTTCAGGAGAAGGGAAATATTCTGTAGTTTAGGTGAGCCATCTTATGAGCAGCTGAGAAATACTCCATTGGGACTGTACCTATGTTTTGTATTTATATGACATATTCCACATCAAACAGTCATTTTGACTAACTCTGGAATGCTATATGTTATGTTATGTAATATGCGTCATGCTTTAAATGCATCTAGAGGACATTAAACGTCTTACCTAGTCAAAATAAGGCAAAGTCACTGTACCATAGTTTCGAATCTAACACTGCCTTGATGACTTCCAAATTATAAGCCATATGTGAGAACAGATATTTACCTTTGCATTTTCTTTCAAAGTTCTAACTGGGTGTAAATTTACAAGCATTACATCATCTGCTCAAGTGGATCGCAATATGTGCGCTGCAGTGTAGTGCCTAGTACAACAGTACTGGTGGAGGGGGGGGGGGTTAAACTTTGCCATGAGTGAAGTTCTGTACTGCATACACAAATGTATGTACATTAGGCAAAGCCATAACCAGTACTGACAGATGTGACCTTATTGCACAATGCTATTTTTACTTCTAAATAGTAACATAAAACAATTTTTGTAATTTTCTTTCTTGTTTTACTGTTCTTGTTGTGCAATGTCCGTACATGACCACAATACAAACTTGAAAATGGCCCAGAACAATTTTTAAAGTAAAGATTGTATTGCCACAAAAAGAATTCTGTAAGTCAGCACTATACAATTTCAAAACAGTGCACAGTAACTTCTAATCCAGAGTATTACTGTCTTCTGCAATGTGACCTTGCGCAGTCTGGTTGATCGTTTATAGGAATATGTAGTTGGGAGGCGTGGGAGAAACCAGCAGAAATAATAATAGTAAATTGATAAATTCTCACGGTTTCACACCCGGAGAGAGTAATCCCCATGTCACCAGCCTGACAGCCCACTTTTCTTCATTTAAATCACCATTTTTGAGAGGCAGAAAGTTACTGTATGTACCGAGACCCCTAGACAGCAGCTTTACTAAAGGACCGAGGACAGTATGAATTTTGTTCTATCCTGCCCAAACAAATTTCAGGAATGTTGTGGCTCTACTAATGTCAGGATAACACAAATTCCAATTGAATCACCTGGAACAGTGTTTTGCAGAGTTACGTAAAATGGTTCTCCCTTTCATATGACAATGTTACAACCATTACCTTGTTTCTCCACTCCACGTATGACAATGTGCCAATTCTTTTGGCCAACAGACATACAATTCCAACCCAGGTGCTAAGAGAACACCTTTCATAACTGAGATGACCTTTTCCATTGTGTCTTCATCGTCATTTACACAAAATGCTTCAATACCAATGTATTTAAAGTCATCTTTCTTTATAAGTTTACGTAATTCATAGAGACATTTTTCAAAATTAACGTAAGAGAATACATCAGTCTGTTTCTGTCTCACAATAAGTCCATACAGAACTTCATTTTTCTTCTCCAAACGTATTATATCTCTAATTCTCTTCATCTGTCTCTTGTAATCCGGCAGGAAGTTGAACTTACAATCAAGGGTTTTTCCACAATTATCCACACTGCCATCTTCAGAACCAAAGAACAGAAGGGCTGTCAGACTTTCAATGTCAACCAAAGGGTACGGCTGGTGTCGAACAACAAGGGTCTTTTTGCTTTTTGGATATTGGTCTTCTTCTTTCTCTGGCTGAAAAATAAAAATACAACAATTTTACTGCCTTTTATACATGCATAAAACTACTATTTCATAAACTCAGGGGTTCCATGACTTCTGGGCTCGTGAGACGGTAAAATAAGGACTTGGCACCAAGAATGACTATGCTGGCGAGGACCAGCAGCAATTTATCAGACTCTGACTAACTCACAAAATGGCCACGCCATAGCTCAAGCAGTTAGTTGCCGGCTTTCCACCGTGGCGCCCCGGGTTCGTTCCCAGGTCTGGTCAAGTGGGATTTGTGGTGGACAAAGTGGCACTGGGGCAGGTTTTCTCTGAGTACTTCGGTTTCCCCTGCCAATCTTCATTCCAACAAATTCTCCATCATCATAATCACCCAGGGCAGGCTACAATAGGCCAATCAGTGGCCGCCAAGCTGAGTGGACCCAGTAGGATTCCACCCCCCACTAAGTGAAACTCATAAGATAATTTACAAGATCCACCCATAGAATAAAAGACTTTATAAAACATGGGTTTAATGCACTACATTAGAATCTAGTGTCTAGAGGCATCTCCAAGTCTCCCTACTTCCTGTCACTGCATCTCTGTAACTGTAGCCAAGAGAATGACATGCAATTCACAGTTTACTCACTTCCACTTGCCTGTAGGTTCTTGTTTTGAAAGCAGTTTTCCACTTAATTTGCATTTCATGATAAATAGTAACTTCACTTCACATATGCAAACAATATCAGGCCTCACAAAATGGAAGTAATGCATGAAAACAAGAGAGTATTTACTCATTGTGAGTCACTGTACACCTCTGCACCAGAGCCGCAAACTGCTGCTGGCCCCCGCCACCACAGCCATACAATGTGGCTAAATGGTTGCTACTTGTTATAATCCTTGAAAATTGTTACTAAGGTAATCCATCAACAAAGCCGTTCAAGTTGCTTCAGCTACCTAGTATGATTGCAAGGCCAACTTTATCTTTCTTTCCTTTTTTTTTTTTTATTGCTAGTGGGATGGGACTAAGTCCCTTGTACTGCGGCCACTTCTGGCCTATTGTACCAGCCCTAGATGATAGGTGAGGGTGATTGTGGAGCAATTGGTGGAATGAAGATTGGCAGGGGAAACCGAAGTACTCAGAGAAAACCTGCCCCAGCGTCAGTTTGTCCACCATAAATCCCACTTGACGAGACCTGGGATCGAACCCGGGCCGCCACGGTGGGAAGCCAGTGACTAACCGATTGAGCTATGGCGTGGCCTTCTTTCTTTCCTTAGTGAAGTAAGTAAAAGTAAAGGTATCCCTGTAACAGGCCGTGAAGGCCCATAGTGTTATGAGATGTTGAGGTTCCCACATTTTCTAGACAATCAGCTCACAGATGGCGGTAAGGTTGTCAGCCCTATATGCTGGCCGCCCTTTACCCCCAAGAATATTCCTGGTACTCATTTCTGTTAGAGGCTGAGTCGACCCCAGGACCATAGTGCGGCTGGAAGGATTAGGTCAATTGAAAAAATCCAATGACCTTATCAAAATTTTCATACTTCCCAACATCAAAGCAATGTCAGCGTCTAAATAAGTTGTTGTACACCTCCCAAACAGTCATAATTACAGAATTCTACACAGACATGACAAATCAGAAACACTGAGGAATGCATTACCCTGCATTCTGTGTCTGACATTCAGTTCAAGCTGCTTAATAAGAACTAACAAATAAATACATAAACTTAAGAGAATGAATATGATTTATACTCAAAATGTGAGATCACATTTAAAACTGGACACTGCTGTTGTGCAGGGCACTGTACTGAAGCTTCACACAATGCGTCGTTTTACTTCTTGTTCTTCTTTTTTCCTTTCTGCCCATTCCGTTTCTGTAACTTCTCGCTTTTCCTGTTTTGCTTCCCTTTGCTCTTTATCTCATTTTTATGACAAAGCGAAGAGCCTTCAGAACTGCTTCTTGAATGGTCACGGGTTCCCCACCTCTGAAATAATGTCCACTGTCACCTCTAGCACCGACACATTCATAACCAGTTCTATAAGCACCGTGACACATTCATAACCAGTTCTGTAAGCACTGACACATTCATAACCAGTTCTATAAGCACCACGACACATTCATAACCAAGTTCTTTAAGCACTGACACATTCATAACCAGTTCTGTAAGCAATGACACATTCATAATGAAGTTCTATAAGCACTGCCACATTCATAATGAAGGTCTGTAAGCACTGCCACATTCATAACCAGTTCTATCAGTCTATGAAACTGACAGACTATTCCACCATAAAGCTTTCTTCTGGGGCCACCCAAAAATTCCAGTGATCAAATCATCATACAAATAAATTCAGGGAAGGGGGGATACTGAATTTCAAACAAAGAATATGATAGAACAAGTTTTTCACAGACAAAATTACAGTTCATTACTAATTATATTTTTACACTGCTAAATCACATTTTACTTTTCAAAGCTTGGGTCCTGAAACATTTTTGTTCTGATCAAGAGGCCCTTGGAAGTCTGGGGAACACAGACATATTAAATACATACCGTATTTACACATGTATAGGCCGCAGCACAATTTTCAGACAGAAATTATAGAAAAAATAATTTTCTTGGAATATTATTTCAGGAGTAGAACACCCTGTATTACTAATTATGAATATATATATATTTTTTAAATGAAGTGTGATTTCGAATATTTTGAATATAAGCTGCACCCCAGTTTTCCTCTTGAATTTTTGGCAAAAAATGTGCGGCCTATACATGCGTAAATACGGTATTCCTCTGACTGGCTCAAGTCTGTGTACAGTGACCTCAACCAATGTGTTATCTAAGGCTAGGGCGGCAATGTCAGCAATGACTTGGCCACTTATCACTGCACCCAAACCAGACCTCAATCCCACCTGCTTTATGTAATGAATACTGAGGCTATTACTCCCACCTGGAGTAAAGGTGCTAAGTCACAAAGCTAACAACTGACCTCTACCTAATGCCAAGGTTAAGAATGGAGCATTTTCTTCTTTTTGTGGGTTATTTTACAAGGTTGTTACAACTATATACCATGAAATGGTACAAGTAGCCATGGCCAACGTTAAGCTCACCTGATTGTAGTTGTAGACGGTGATGCTGATGTCAAGCTCAGAAAACAATTCTTCAATCTTTGGCTTTACTTCTCTCCATTCCAGCCTGTCCAGTCCACATCCAATTCTCGGCATAGCAAGAAACTTTACTTTGTGCTCAGCGCAGTGATTTCTCATTTTTTCCAGTGAAGAGACCAGGTCTTGGAAAAAAGGCTTCTCATTGCTATATCTTTTAGTTACAAGATAGTAAATGAATCTTCCCTCGTGCTCCAGGACTGCGATGTGACCGACACGTGCGCGCTGGTCTAACAATTCACCGACCCTCTTAAAATTCTGTCTGCAGAAAAATAAGACTTAATTATAAAAAAATATCAGCTTACTCAAAGTTGAAGCACAGACAACAGTGCTAATGAATTTGAGGTTTTCATGGCAGTGACTATGAATAATGCTGTCTTCTGGGATGTGGTGCTGTGTAGATCTTGTGTAAATGAACGCTTGAGAGGAACGTCATTTTACACAATATCTACATGGTGCCACATCCCAGAAGACGGCATTCTTCCTAAAGAATCATTGTACAAAGAATTACAATTACTCTACTTCCTACTGGCATTCAAGCAACTCCTGCCAGCTATCGGGGATTACAGCCTCATTAATAATAAATATGCATGTGACAGACTTACTATTCAGTTTGAAATGAGATCAAAATAATTTGGGGGGGGGGGGACTGAATAATCAGGTGACAATGACAGCTCTCTCTACTAGAACCAACTACAGTATGACACTAAGTTGCTGTTTCCCAGTTCACAGCAGTGCGCTACTTATCTCCTCTGACAGTGGTATTACAATCCTACATACAGAGACAGCTGCATTGTGGGCAGAAAGAGGGGGAAGGGCAGAATTTGCTGGGGAGCTGATTCTTGCTTGTATTCTGAACCACTATGATTCTCATGGATCAGAGAGTGTGCAGTCGGGCGGCAGTCCTGTTTGCCACACGAGGCCTGGCGTTGTCATTGAGGAGAACCACATCATTCACGCGAATCCCCGGCCGTGACTACAGTCATTTGGATGGGAGATTATGGATCATGCACCGTATAGTCCAGACCTCACCCCCAGTGATTACCACAGGTTCAGTTCACTGAAGAAGTTCCTGGCAGGCCAGAGGTTCATTTTTGATGCAAAAACTGCTGTCTGGCAGTGGTTCCACGCTCAACCGGCTGAATACTACAACAGTGGCATCTCCAACTAGTGGTGCGATGGGACAAATGCCCAAACCGGGGTGGTGACTATGTGGAAAAATAGTCAAAGGTGCTTAGAACACTGCCTGTATTTTGATTTCCCTGTATGTGTATTATTGTGGCTGAAAAAAATAGGGGCAAAGACTTTTCAATTTGCCTTCGTAGATACTGTAACGTGTCTGGAGTAGACACTTCCATTATAATGCAATAACAGTAGAAAGTTGCATAGTAATATCTGTAGCAATGAGTGTTCATTGCATAACGCTCGATAAACACCCTCCCTGTTAGGCGGTGGCGTCACGCAACAGTAGGGTGTCTATTGCTAGGCAATGCGTAGTTACACACACCCGACAACAATACCTAATATCTGTTGCTGAGCAGCAATGTGTTCTCTATGTGGTCCGTGCAGAGCCTATATAAGGAGCAGCGAACACTATTCAGGAGTAATAGTAGAGTAGTAGTCACCCGTGTGGAGGTGGGGTCGAATACCTCCACTGCGACCCTGCGAGTTGTAGGAGGTGACAAAAAGGGAAGTTTCAAATCTGAGACAGTAAGATATGGTCGTGAGTCACAAGGGACTTGGATCCAAGAAAGACTGCACTGGCAAGAACCAGTAGCATATATAAAAGACAGACCCGTCCTCTCGTCAGAGAGGGCATCCCAGAAGAGCAAGACTGTAACTATCAAACAGTAACAAATATCTGGTCGTGAGCCCCAGGAGGGGGCTCGACACCAAGACTTACTGACTGACTGGCCATCAGTTGCAATGTAACTTGACTCTGACTTTGACTTTGATTCAGGAGTAGTGAGGATTGAGTAAGAGTATTTATTTACTAGAGAGTTACTAGTATGGAGTGAGTGAGTATTCAGTATAAGTTGGAGTCTTAGTATAGCCACCATTGAAGACAGTTGAATGGATTTGCTGGGATATAGTGGAAGCAGTAATTGTGATATTGCAAGCGATAATAATTGTGAAGTGTGAGAGGGTAGAAGCAAAGTGCACTAAATATTTGCTACAGCCTTGACTTACGTGAAGTTATTTGTCATGTGACATACCCAACACGTGATAATACTACAAAGAAAAACACACAAACTTTGATGCTAGTAAGGAGGCTGGTCTAGGAGTTAAACACAGAGAAACTAGGTATACAAGTAGGCTGCCATCTCATTAGCAGAATGCAGGGCAAAATTACATACAGCTAACAGGTGCTTTGAAAACATGGCACAGTTGAAATATTTGGGAACTACAGTAACAAATCAAAATATGATGCAGCAGGAAATTGAATTTGGATAATGCTTGCTAGTCTTTAGTCCTTTCGTCTTCTCATCTGCTGTCTAAAAACATAAAAATTACAGTATACATGACTTTAATAATTTTGCCTGTGGTTCTGTATGGGTGACATTAAGGGAGGAACATAAACTGAGGGTTTGAGAAAAGGTGCAGAGAATATTTGGATGAGAGGGGGGNCTTCATGACTTGTAGTATTTGCCAAGTATAGAATGATCATGTCAAGGATGAGATGGGCAGGGCATGTAGCTTGACCGGGGTTGAAAAGTAATGCATATAAGGATATTTGTCAAAAAGCCAGAAGGAAAGAGACCTCTAGAAAGACAAAGGATGTAGGTGGATGGATAATATTAAAATGTATCTTAGAGAGGACGGGGTGGTATAGACTAGACTGATCTGGCTCAGGATAGGATACCATGTAAACATGGTAATGAACCTTCGGGTTCCATAGAATGCTGGGAAGTTCTTGAATAGCTGCACAAGTGGCAGCTTCTGAAGAAGGGCTCAGCTCCATGTAGTTAGTTGGTTATAGTCAACTCAAAGCCTCCTTTTAAGTGCATATTCACAGTTTACACTTTTTGTATTATATTAACATTAATGGACATTCTTATTTTTGACTCTAGCATCTGAACCAGACGATTGTGAAGTCCCACAAGTTGTGAAACACTGGTCTAAGTTGAGTAGATGCCTGACTGAACCCGCTCATCCCCTACTGGTCCACTTCCACGCAACGCTGGGCCTCCAAGCGACTAAATGTATCTATAAATACATTCTGAAGTAGGAGCACCACTTGCCGAGTGATATCTGAAACAGAAATCTATTCGATCCTCACCCAGCTGACTGCATGAGAAGAGAATGCACAGTCTGTCAATACAATACCATACAAATGATGGAAACATCACTCAAATTGTACACTTGCCTGAAACTCACTGCAATGCCACTTCCCATTCTCATGTCAGTTGCCACACAGTGTGCCAAAGAATATTCCTTAGGAGCTGTAAAGAGGTCACCATCCACTTCCTTCACAATTTTGTACTTCTTGTTACCTCTGCTTTTACCTGAAAAACCATTTCTTCAGCTTACTCTTCTACATCATACACACATCTCCATGCATGCAATGTTTGGTTTCACTGACATCAGAAGACATGGTCTGCCATGCTCTCGAGCTGTATACACAGTACTACAGTATCACAGCAAAAGCCATGACTGCCCCTCTTACTTACCACTTATGTCACTTGACTCTATACAACCTCTGCAGTAGAAACAGTGTCATTAAAAATCTAAGAATTTAATAATAAAAAAAACATGCTAAAATATTCAGTCCTCTAGAAGAAACACATTTTCTTGCCATGTTCCAAATTTTTAATTTCTGACACTGTTTAATACTGGAAAGTCAAAATTTTGCTATCATTTTTTTCAAGAACAGAAATGGGGGAACACCCAAGGTACAGAGACATCTGCTTTCCCCCCAATGTGCAATGCAAATGTAAAATGGAGATCATCTAAAAACCAATCCAGGATTCAACAACACGCCGCTTTGCGGAACATTTACATTTCAGTGTTCCTTTCGGAAGGCAACTGCATCTGGAATTGCTACAAAAACCGTTACATATGCAAAGACATTTGGGAAGTAGCACATGCTGCCCTTTACTACTGAAGAATGAATATTCAATTCAAACTTAATTCTAGAGCCCTAAGTTCAATGATATTTAAAAAGTCCCACTTAACAGAAAACCTATGTCTGCTCTACAAAGACCAATCTGTTAATCTGTTTTGGGGAATGATATCTATTTATCCTCAGAAGCATATAAAAACATACATGCACTGTGTAGGCAAACTTAACACCGTGTTAAATAAGGTGGTAAATATGGCAAACACTGTCCTTTAGCTGCTTCACTGGCATTCCAGAAACTTGCAGTGATTCAAAGACCTCCCTTATAGTCTAGTGGTCAGAGTTCCTGGGTTTGATTACTGGCGCTACCAGATTTTCTGCTAAGTAGTGGGTCTGGAATGGGGTCAACTCAGCCTCGTGAGGATAACTGGGGAGCTACTTGAATAGAGAAGTAGCGGCTCTGGTCTAGAAAACAGAGATTAAAGGACATGGGGGATCTGTTGCGCTGACCACGTGACAGCCTGTGCCCACAAAAGTTGGCACTAAGTTCACTGACAAGCGGCGGTCGCTCAGTTAGTATAGTCCGCTTGCTGACTACAGGCCATGGAGTTGCAGTGATTCACTCTCTGCTCCTACTCAGGATACAGAGGAAAACTTTCAAGCTCAATGCTGTTAAGTGTGTCAGCTTTTGCGAGATGGTGGTAGCATGTAAAAGACTGGTGCAGCTTTCTGCATGCAGTATCAATGTGTGTCAGGAATCATAAACCGAGTCTGTAAGTCACCAATGAGTAAAAGTAAAGTAAAGGTATCCCTGTACCAGGCCGTGAAGGCCCATACGGTTGTGAAATGATAAGGACCCCACATCATCTAGGCAATCGGCTCAAAGACGGTGGTGAGGTTGTCAGCCTTACGTGCTGGCCGCGCTTTACGCCCCAGGAAAACTATTTAATTAATTCCTGCTACTCATTTCTGTTAGAGGTTGAGTCAACCCCAGAGCCATAGTGTGGCTGGAGGGATTAGGACAACTGAAAAAAATCCAGTGACCTCATCGGGACTTGAACCTGCGACCTTCCGGCTTGTAGCATAGTGCCTCAACCAACTATGCTACCGCGTACCCCAAGTCACCAATGAAGGGGTTAAAAATCCTGAAAGAAAATATTTATTACCTCTATCATCTCTGCTCCATCCGCTGTCATTATCCTGTGGTCTTCTATTATCCTGCCGTCTCCAGTTGTCAGTGTCTTGTCTCCCTCTCTTATAACTCTCCCCTCTCCTTTCTCTGCTGTGGTCTTCTACAGCTCCCCTTCTGTTCCCTTGCTGCATTCCATCATCCCAATTTTCTTCTCCATCCTCCCTATTAGGTGCCAAAGAAAACTGTGAGGTGTGTGAGTCATGAAACAGAACTGCATTTGGCCACACATTCTATGGGGCTGAAGGTGGGTTGGGTGGCTAAGCACTGCATGCAACTACTCTCATTTTCCTGGTCATTCCTTTTCTCAGAAAAAATCAGATCGATGGTATGGCTGCCTAACTACAGTGGCCTCTGAGCGAGTCACTCACAGGTACATCCCCTTTTCTGTTCTCTGCTATGCAACCTGTATAGGTGGGACCATCGATTTTGGCCGGTGGATCTCTGATGTGTAGTGGTCTACACAAGTCGGCGAGCCTAAGATTGGTGAGCATGTGCAGCGACACTATGTTGTCTAAGTAAGAAGGTAGACGTTGAGCTCATAGGATCGCTGTTATTAGTAGATACTGTGTGCTTTTCCCATGTGCCAGCCTACGAATGTTCTCTCTGCAGACGAAGCATGTTCATAGCATAGACTCGCTCTCATGCGCCGACAGTGAAGGACACCGGCCAAAACGTACTGGCAGGCTTATACATGTTAAAGCATTCTGACACCAGGTGGGGGGGTGGGGGTGGGGAAGAGAAGTTTAATACATACCAACATACAAAGGTATAGGTTATTTTGCGGACACTGAAGAGTGTTCATTTATCACACAAATACAGTAATCTTCTGTACTGTCAGTTTACAAGCATATACAGTTTCTCTAATGAGCCTCTGTATGGATATATACTTACGTCTGTGAATCTTCAAACCAGTCTCTACCTTCTGCAGGCATCGGAGTTCCCAAGGAGCTCCTCTCTTCCGCATTACAAACATCCATTCTGTTGTCGTCTTTATCTTCATCGTTTGTTGTTGTGTCACTGTGACTTCGCTGCTGAAAAGATATGAAATTTTGTGTACAAGCAGTGGATCTGAAACCCTTAGAGGGGGGGGTCAGGGAACTGCATTTGTTTTCACAGCTTCGTCAATGCCCTCCTTTACGATGAGAAAATTAACATTTTGCTATGATATGCTGCCAGGTTCTACTCACACCGGATTTTTTGCACAATTCCATTCCCCAATGCAAACTACTTCTTGTCTGATATGTCAATGCCCCAGCTTCTGCTTCAGGCCCATTAATTTCAGCAGCAAAACCACAAAGTAAGGGCAAGTAGGGGCAGGGCAGAGCAGGACTAGGAGAGGGGGAAGGGACTTTCACCAAAACCACTGAAGAGGTTCCTTCTCCCATACTTCATTTACATTTTCAGGGCTGATAACAGTTCTAATATTAGAAGACTACCATGCTAGGCCAGTGCACACGGTAGTAGCGTAGTTGGTTGAGGCACTACGCTACAATCCGGAAGGACGCGGGTTCAAGTCCCGATGAGGTCGCTGGATATTTTTTCAATTGACCTAATCTTTCCATCCGCACTATGGCCCTGGTGTCAACTCAGCCTCTAACAGAAATGAGGGATGGCTGGTGCATAAGGCTGACCTCACTGCCATCTGTGAGCCGATTGTCTAGAAAATGTGGTAACCTCAATATTTCACAACCCTCTGGGCCTCCATGGCCTGTTACAGGGATAGTTTTACTTTGCTTGTACTATGTTAGGCCAGCTACAATGCAATACTGCTAAGCGGCAGACTGACAGCATATCTGAGAGACTGGGGAACACTGACTGCACTGCATCTGAAACCAACATCAGTCGACTGTGGGTGTGGGCTTAAGCCCATGTGAAAACATTTTATTTTGACATAAACCATGAACTTGTGTACTATTACACTACATACAATGAAAAGCAGGGTTGATTTTGTACACAAATAAGGTATGTCTAATGGTTGTTGTGTTATTCTGTCAAAAGTTGGAAATAATGTTACCTCTAATTTTTTGCTCGCTTTCATATTATGCACCAAGACAGAGACATTTTCTAGTTTTAAGCCACAAGACTTAATTACATTATTATTAGAAAAAATATCTACACAACACAATTTTAGTAGCCATGGTGATATGAGGCCTGGGATTTTGTGCCCCTGATTAATAAAGGACCATGAAATCTACTTACCCCAACAGGAAAACTGCTACTGCGTTGGTTCTTTGCACTGCTACAATCATAGACTGCCTGACTGTCAGAGTTCTTCTGCCGAGGGGTTTTTAACTCTGCAGCACCTTTAGATACCGCACTGCACTTTGCTTCATGATCGGCATGTTGCTGCTTTAACAGACCTATATAATAGTCCTTCTTTGGATGAGTATAAACCATTTCTCTTAAAATAGGATTATCATGCTGACATTCCAGACACTTATACAGGAAACTCATTCCACATGCTGTAGTGCCACTGCTGTCTGCTGGCAGTTCTTCATATTCAGACTGTGCTGAATGTTCTGTCTGAGTGCCAGATGCCTGGTCTGCGACAAGATGTGAGCCACCGTTTGCATCCTGACTTTCTGGCTGATTTCCGTCATCTGGCGACCCCATTTGTTGCAACGAATCTTTGTTAACGTCGACGCAACTTTCATGCTGATGTTTCAGCTCACTTATCACAGGATTTCTTCCCTGTCTGGCTGCTGGAGTCTCTTTGAAGTTTCGTGGCTGTGTTATGTTATCGGCTACTGGTACTTCCTTTTTAGCTGACCTACTGCTTCCACTTGACCACTTCCTACGATTTCCTCCTTTATGGTGCTTACTCATGTTGTTCCCTTTGAATGGTGCCACTACTGCACCTGCAAAGTAGAACTTTCTTGTTCATGTAAAACACACACACTCATACCAAATAAGGATATATTTCAGACAGATACAGAAGACTGCTTTCTTCATAGTCACTGCCATGGAAACCTCAACTCTTACATACTGTCTATACACTGATGTGTTTCTGCTTGAGAACTCCTGGAGAGATACTGACAAACATTCACATGAATGTTGCATTACTGGAGGCTTCCCCATTTTCTTGGCATATAGTGTTGTACAATTAGTAACATCAACATGGCAGACACGTAAATTTGTGTGGAGGGGGGGGGGGTGACTATAGTGCAGCTGCTGAAATGCAATAACCACAAGAAGGGGGAGGCAAGTAAGAAACGATATTATCCATAGAAATAAGAGAAACCATGGTCATTTCCAGGTTAACAAATTCTACAGCCTCATAAAATGCACTCTCTTGCACAAAAGGAAATTAAAAAAAAATGCCAAAGAGCACATGCAAATTACTGTACAGCAGAAACTACACTACTTGGATCTGTGGTTTTCATGATGTAGCTACTGTATGGTGTTCAGGGATGAAATGCCATGAAGACGAAAGTACATGACACACTGGAAGAACAGCCATCTAAGAGTCAACATGGGCAGATGCAGTTTGTCTTGTGGAGAAATGTCTGGCAGGCAAAACCTTTGTCCGACTGGTGAATTTGGCCAGCATGTGTTGACAAAGACAAGATTTGTATCTACCTCAAGCTAATTTAACTATTTATCAAAAAGGAGTTTATTATGTGGGTATAAATATATTTAATAAATTGCACATAGAGATCAAGAACACATCTAATAATTTTAAAAGGTTTAGGGCTGTATTAAGGCATTTCCTGACGTTTTATACTGTGGATGAATATCTAAATAGATAACTTTTATTATTGCTGTATTCATTGTACTGTCTAGTTGTGTAATAAATATGTATGTATTCTATGCTCTATATTATTTTATGACATTGTTCTATATCCATATTTGGATCTCTTGAACTTACAATAAATACAAACACCCCTGCCTCTTGCCCATTCTGTCATCTTTCACTGTATTGGCCTATGCAACAGTTTGGAAACATGGTACCATCCGAAGTACCTCTACGTTTATAACTGAACAAAAGCGAGATGTCATGATTTAGGAAGTTACAAAAGACATCAAAACTTTGGTTAAGATAACATGTACAACCACAGCCTGTGTAGTAACTAAATGCAAGTATTCTGTGTATATAATAAACATATGACTGTTACACTTGAAAATATTAATGTAAGTAATAAGTTCATATTTCTCTAACATTAGGCTGTTACTTTCTGTGAACTGTGTAATGCAGAGTACTTGTACCAACTTTGTGTCAGTTCACATTCACCTCATCAATAAATAATGACTGATAAGACGATATGATCATCGGCTTTGCATCCAATCCTGAAACTGGAAGACCGCGTCTGTATATACGTTCCCTGTGAGAATGGCCCATTCATACCCCAAGGCACTGGGTTCTCCTTTTATAACCTTCCATGACCTGTAGGGCTACAGTGGAGGTATTCTAACCCACCTCCACATGTGTGAGAAGTGTGTGTGCATATATGTTATTGTGGATGGAGACTGTGAGGGTCAGTGAAAGGGAGGAAAAACAATTCCGTTCCTTAAGATTTCTTCAAAACCTGATATAACATTTCTGTAGTAAGGTAACTCTGTCATTGTTTTAAGTAGTAAACACATGACCTTCAATTTAAACTCTGTTAACATTTTTTTATAACATCTCTGAGGTTGTTATACCCTGGATAGGCAACCTTACTGATGAAGTTCTGTATTCAATGAAATATTCAGTATGATAGTTCTGATTCCCATTGTACATTGAAAATATAACCCACACTTCCTAATAAAGTACTGATCTATGTCACTGGCTGATGATGACATAACCTCAATTTTTTGGGGGGCATAGTTTACAGACATCTGTTCCATGGCTCAACGTCACTGCTTATGTCTATTCTGTCTTGTTGGCACCATGCTGAGAACCTGGTGAAGAAATCATTTGTGCAACCATACCCCAAAATCCATCTTTCTACCAAAGAACTCCCATTTTATTTTAACTGTGTCCATCAGCATTTTAATGAACCTTCTGTATACCAAAGTAAATGCTAAATTACTATACCTGCAAATCTGAATCTAAATGTGGCTGGTTTAGGAAACAATGTAACAAGCATGAAAAACGTCATAGGTCTAGTTTCCATTCATTAAATAGAACGTAGAAAACTATTTTCAACCTACAATCGTAATAAAATAGACCAATCTTACTTTTATCAAGTTTACCACTTTGCTTCCCCTTCTTGCGTTCCACCTACGATTACGGAAACGGATGCCCTTAAATTCCTACTTTACGACACGAAACCTTGTGACACGAAAGTGACGCAACTTGCTTGTTATCGGGGAAGTCCGGAAAATTCCATCTGCAACAGCATATTTATGGTTATACTCAAAATTTTGTCAAGAAGTGTCTGCCTGATAGTAAATATATGAATGTTATTTTTACAACCATAAAACAGTGCCAGCATAATTATTAACAATGATTTCAGAACCTACAAGCAATATATATACGTATTAGAAATTAACTTGGATCAAAATTTGAATTCTCACAACCTATTTTTAAACGATGCAATGTGAACGCACTCAAACTATCCAGCTACAACAATGTATATAAAGCTATCAGTGTATAAGACAATAAAACACTTCACCCAAAAAAATCCATTCTGCCGATACTAACATTCTATGGCGCGCAGATAAACCTGTGAATGCCTTAGGCATTTATAGATAACAGAGTACAAGCAATGTCCTTGAAACGGAATGAAAGAACTCCCAATCGCGATATCACGCGCTATTGTGCGTGTTTACATTTGTGCCATACCAGTAGCCAGGGCGCCAAATGTCTCGTGTTATGTGAAAGAATACGTTTGGAATCATGTGAATCTCGGCACAATTGAAATTATGTAAATGGAGGAGTACGTCGTTTGCTAGATATGCGAAAAAAAAATTATGAACATTGCACAGGCCGCTTCGCGATCCGTCTGATAAACTGTGAACACCAAATTGTCCATCGTCATAACGGTCATAACCCTCGGGCGGGTGCAATAGACCAATCAGTGGCGTCAGTGGCCGACGAGCCGAGCGGTGCCGAGGTGCCGAGTGTACCCAGCTGGACTCCACCCTTCATTATGCGAATTATTTTATCTATGGCCGTGGGCTTGATCCGTGGTTAGCACGGCTAGTACAATCACCGTCGATCACGGTTAACATTAGAAATCCGTAATGGAGGATAGAACTCGCTAGGTGTCAGTGATCCAGTGATCAACGTTTGGTTTGGGTTGGGTGGAGGGGCGGACGTAGTGTGGTTGTTGTTAATGAGTGTATAAAATAATCCGTAATCTTAGAATGATCGCTTAGCTTGTGAAAATAGAAATGTTTAAGAAACTGGTGGTGTTTGATAACGGGTAGGTGAGAAGTGATGATTTTGTGATACTGTTGTGGTGAAATGATACTTAACTATCGCTTTAATGTTTAGTCAGAGACTTAAGGGATATATGTCCCAAATTGTTCCACCGAAAGTAGTATTGTCATATACCGAATAATGGACATGATGCATGTTTTAAGGTACTTCTGGCTCTTGACATTATTGAGCCCTATAATCAGCATGTACCAAAGCGCTGTGTCAATTATAGATTATGTTCATTGAGACTCTCCTTGGCTCCATGTCTACTCCACAAGTAGCTGACCTTCAGAATACCCAGACGAATGGGCATACAGTATTATATTTAAGCATCCTGTTGCACTCTACACGATAAATGATACAAATTCCGTCCTAAGTGCAAACAATATATATTATATGTCCTTGATCTTGTTCTTTCTACACTACATGTTTCGGCCTCTATCGGCCATCATCAGGTGTATATTCTTAACGTTGCTGCCACACTGAACCCAGTCTAAAATTTAACGTTTAAAAACACAATGTCACATTCTTCGTATTATCAACATCTACATCGTTGATATGTGTCTGGTATGTAGATTATGTTGCACACGTCAAATTTGATATTCTTGTAGTAGCATTCAAAAAATCTTTAGTTATGATGTTTTAAACCTTTTAAAATTTTTCACTAAATTTTAAATTTAAAATTTAAAATTCTTAGGGTTACTCGCCCTATGTCTAAGTGCTGGAGCGGCTAGTTCTTGTTTTCACACTGTACAGGTGTTATCTGTAATATACAAATATTCGTATTATTATTTTATGTACGTAATACTTTCTTATGTGTGTATATTGTTATTTGTACTTACTTAATGTAGTCTTCTTGTGTGGGTGCCGCTGCTTGTCTGTACTACGTGTGCTGTCTGCTGTATTGTGTGCTGTGTTTTATGTTAGTGAGTGTAGGG